CATATTCCCTGAATATAAGACGATTACACTAAATAAAGGTTAAACTGTTCCTATCCATGGAAGAAGAATTAGTTTATTTGATACAAGTTTTCTTATTTTTAGGACACTTTCTTCAGTAATAACAATCTTGAAGAACATAAAGACAAACCATCTGATGGTGGAGATTCTATTCTTAGCATAAGCACCATTGCTTCAGCCATTGCAGATGTGTCAGTGAGTACTGATCCTGTCCAGTTTGTTGCCATGATGAAGGCACTTAAAAATAAAACCAGAGATAAGACTTCTCAGAAAGATGATAAACAAAAGGAATATTCCACAGTGTCTCATTTCTTACTTAATGATTTAGAAAAAAGTAATGGATCCAGTGCATTTGATATGGAGAAATACCTTACAAAAACAGAAGTTAGTAGATGTGAAGGTGGATTGGAAAGCATCTCAAGAGCAGGCACATCTGACATTTGGGATTTATGTTCATCCAGACAGCAGACTGTTCAAGACAATACGGTGAACTCATGTGCTACTTATATAAGGGAACCAAAAGAAAATATCGCCGCTGATTTCTGTAGTGACAGTGCTGAAAGTGAGACTCAAGAATCACTTGTAACAATAACCTCTTCAAGTTCAGTCCTTAGAAACATAAGAGAGCATGAGAGTGCAGTCATGGATAGGAAGACATGTTTCACGGACAGCACGTTACCAGGTACTCAGAGTCATGACAAAGCTACCTCAGTTTCCATTCCAACATCCAGTAGTTACTCATCAGTAAGGACCCCCAGAATAACATCCTTGAACCGCTTAGAAGAATGTGAAGAAATACAAGATAATAGAGAACACCACAGGCAAACAGAGTCTGTTAGTGAAGCCAGCAGCAGTAATAAGCACGTTACTTTTGAAGAGAGTTGTACAGTCTCACCTAAAAGCGTTGGTAAGTGTCTTGGTAATTGATTGCATTTAAGTTGTGTGGTTTTTGTTGTTGTTTTCTGGTCTTACTGGAAAATACTCCTTTGTAATAGATTTGAAAAATACACCCTCTGAGTGTGGTGGATCTGGCTTAGAGGACCAGGACAGCTTCAGACCTTCCACTTCACCACTCAGTCATTCTTCTCCCAGTGAAATTTCTGGAAGCTTATCAGGGTAGGTGCTTATGTTTATTATTAGTTCCAATTTTTTACTTTTAGTAAAAACATTTTTTCATAATTTGAGTATGAGTGTGTGTGTGTGTGTGTGTGTGTGTGTTGGAAATGGAAACAGGGCTTGCTAAGCACACATTATACCACTGAGATATATCCTCAATCTTTTTTTTCAATTGATTGTTTTTATTTATGTGTATGTGTGTGCCAGTGCCCACAGAGGCCAGAAAAGGGTGTCGGATCTGCTGTAACTGGGGTTATAGATAGTTAAGAGACACTCGATGTGGGTGCTAAAAACTAAATTTGGGTCCTCTGGAAAAGTAGCAAGCACACTTAACCAGTGAACCATCTTTCCAGCCCCCATAATGTATTTTGATCAAATCTGCCCGTCTTTATTATTAATTAAGAAAAAATTGTGCTGTGCATGGGAAAATTTGTAAAAGAAAAGATATGAAGAAAAATCTCTTAATTTTTAGGTTTACCTTTTTTTTTTTAAGTCTGTGTGTGTATGAATGGTGCTTTCTTTTTTAAAATATATTTATTATTTTTATTTTATGTGTATGCGTGTATTGCCTCCATGTAGGTAAGTGCACCCATATCACACAATGCCCGTGGAGTACAGAAGAGGCTGTCGGATCCCCTGGAACTGGAGTTACAAATTGTTAGCTGCCATGTGGGTGATGGGATTCGAACCTTGGTCTTCTGCAAGAACAGCCAGTGTTCTTAACTGCTGAGCCATTTCTCCAGCCCTAGGTTTACCTTTTAAAGGTAGTCAGTGTAAATTTTTTGTAAATTTCTTCATAATCTTTTTTTCTTGAGATTAAGTCACACTGTTTGGTCCTGGCTAGACTGGACCTCAACTGTGTAGTCGAGGCTGGCCTGGAAACACAGATCCACCTGCTTCTGCCTCCTAAGCTGGGATTAAAGGTGTGCACCACCACACCCAACCTGTGTTTATTGTTATTTTTCTTATGCACACTTTTATACTATGCTGGGTTGTTTGTTTCTTTGTTTTTGCTTGCTTGCTTGTTTTTGTGGTATATGCATGTGTGCATCTTGTGCTGGCATTTGTGGAGCCACAGGCTGACATCAGGATGTCTTCCTCAGTTGTTTCTCTACCTTATTTTATATTGAGAAAGGGTCTCTAACCAAACCTGGAGTTCACTGCCTTGATTAGACAGCCAGAAATTTTGGCCAGCAAGCCCTGGGTTTCCTCCCATCTCTACTTCCAGGGCTGGCATTACAGATGTGCACTGACAGACCCAGTGTTTGTTTATTTTTGTTTGTTTGTTTCTTCACAGGAGTGCTGGGGATCCAACTCAGGTCCTCATACTTGTTCAGCACATCACCCACTGAGCCATCTCCCCAGACTTTTTTTTTTTTTAAAAAAAAAACCTTATAGTTATCTCTGTATTTAAAAGGAAAAGTAGCAGTGTTACATAGACTGCATAATGGGCCCATTTTAGTTTCCTTTCTTTTGCTGTGATAAAACACTGACCAAAAGCAAGTTAGGAAGAGAAAAAGGTTTATTTCATCTTCTTCCAGATCATAGTCCATCATGGAGGGAAATCAGGGCAGGAACTGAAGTCAGGAGCCTGAAGGCAGGAAACATTTGCTGACTTGCTGTCTGGCTTACCTGCTCATGCTTATCTAGCCTTCTTTTATAGCTGAGGACCACTGCCTATGCATAGTGCCACCCACAGTGGGTTGAACCTCCTACCTCAGTTAAAACAATCAAGGCAATCCCTCACAGACATGTTCACATAGCAACCTGATAAAGACAGTACTCAGTTAAGACTTTTCTCTCAAGCTAGGTATGGTGGTGCATGCCTTTAATTCCAGCACTCTGGAGGCAAAGGTAAGGAGGATCTCTGTGAATTCAAGGCCTGCCTGGTCTACATTCAGGCCAGCTGGGGTTACAGGGAGACCCTGTCTCAAAAAGACAAAAAACAAAACAAAACAAAACAAAAAAAACAAAAATCCCCCACAACCAAAAAACACTTCTCTCTCTCTCTCCCTCTGATTCTAGGCTGTGTGTCAAGTTGACAGTTAATGCTAGCTAGAACAGATATTTTTCATGGTTTATTTAATATGTCTAGTAATACTTAGTGTATTACTCTGTTTTACTATTTTAATAACATCAAGATGAATAATTTTCCTCAAATTTTTACTTTTATAAAAGTTTTCTTTTACAGCTTTCTATGAGATCTTGCAAGTGTTTCTCTGTTGAAAGATACTAATGAAAACTTTTAACTAGATACTGAGATAATAAAAAAAATGTTGTGGTTTACAAAATACTGAATGAATTTCTAAGCTATCTAGTAACTTTTCCAAGATACCATTGAAGTTTTGGATATCCATCTGAAATGTGGTATGGATCAATTACAGCTAAATACCAATAAAAAGCTTAATCCGGTGTTTTAGTGACACCTAATAAATGCTTCATTTTCAAGCACTATTTCATATACACAGCCACTTATTTAGCAGTTAACATTTAAAGGATATCAGATGCCATCCTACCCAAGCAGATCTGAAAGTGATCTGTCTCTGAGGTGAACCAGTGTATTCTAAATCTATGGTTTGCCCTTTTCTTCCCTTAAGTTTCTTACAGTGATCACATCATTGTTTCTGGAATGTTGGAGGAAAATCTGATACTAGTGTAATTGTCTTTGGTTTTGGATCGACTTAATCTTTTTGCAAGTTTTTGCTAGAGATTATTTTTCAGCTCAGGCAATTTTATTAACCTGTAGCTGTATGTTGACTCTTTTGTTCTTTCCTGTCATGTAGTATACCTTTTACTGTGTGAATTCAGGCATTATTTCTAAAAATATTTTTCCTGCTCTTTTTTTGGCTGGGGTCTCTTTTGAGGCAGGGTCTTCCTGTAGCCCCAGCTGGCCTGGAACTCTACTATGCTCACTATGTAGACCAGGATGGCCTTGAACTCAGATCTGCCTGCCTCTGCCTCCCAAGTGCTGGGATTGAAGGTGTATGCCACCACATGATTTCATTTGGTTTTAATTCTGACTTCTTAAAGGCATTTAATACAAACTGAATAGTCTATAATGAGTCTTTTCATCAGTGGAGTAGGGAAGTGCTGACTTTTCTTGGGAACTTGGCATATGGTCAGATATTTTAAATTATAGTTGATGTTTTAAATCATGTTTCACTTTCTCTAAATGCCCATGGAATTGGTTAGCTCACTCCACATGGTTAAACATGGTTAAACCTTGTATCCTTATGTGGCCTCTGCAATGTGCATATAGGCTTATGTGCCTGCACACACACATTTGCAACCCCCGTGCCCCCCTCAAACACAAATGATGGATAAAAACAAGTCAAGGACTGAATTGAACCTACATGGTAGAGCATTTACTGAATGTGGAAACAGTTCCAAAGATGGCTTGACACTATTTCTTATTGCCTGTGCTCTTTGGCACTGTGATTATTCAGCTTGTTTCCCTCTTCTCAAATTTGGGCTGGAGGCTCTATGATGGTACACTAGTTACTTTTCTGTTGCTGTGATAAATACCATGACCAAGGCAATTTCTAGAAAGACCATATGGCACATGGTCTACCACTATGCCATAGCCTCAGCTCCATATCCATTGCACTTTTTGTTTTGCTTAATATATCATGAACATCTTTCTAAGTCAAAGGACAGTATTCAGCAGCATGGTTTGAAGTTTTTGTTTTTTTAATGTTAACAATACTAGTAAGTACCACTGAGCTGTATCCTCAGCCCTAACAGCATGTTTTTTACTGTTGAGTTTTTTTTTGGGGGGGGGGTTATCTTTTTGAGATAGGGTCTCCCTGTAAGCTGAGCTTGCCCCAAACTCAAAGAGATCCACCTGTCTCCGCCTCCTGAGTGCTGGAATTAAAGGTGTATGCCACCATGCCGTGCTGACAGCATGGTTTTTAATGTCAAAATGTATTGTGTTGGATGTTTGTGCCAAAACTTAGTCCCTCTTGTGTGACATTTAAATTTTCTTCTTTTCTTTTCTTTTCTTTCTTTCTTTTTTTTTTGAGACATGGTCTCTTGTAGCCCCAGTTGGAACTCCATATGTAGACCAGGCTGGCCTTGGCCTCCCGAATACTAGGATTAAAGACGTGAGCCACCATGCCTGGCTAGGGGCACTTTTTCAAGGTGCCACTTAATTGCTTGGTGAGAGTTAATTCCATGCAATATGTGGGGATTTCTTTGCCTAATCTACTAGATGTTCTGTTTTAGTTTTGCTCTTTCAGGGTAGGAATTTTAAAATGGTTTTTTATTAACTTTTATATCAGGTACTAAATAAATTTTTATTAAATAATAATTATCTCTCTCTCTCTCTCTATATATATATATATAGTATTTACTAATGAAAATGCAACAACCTTGTTTATTTCTTTGAAACAGGGTATCACTATGTAGCATTTGCTGGCCTGAAACTGGCTATGTAGACTAGACTGGCCTTGAACTCACAGAGTTCTGCCTCAGTGCACCACCACATCATTTTTGGCAATAACTTTTTTTTTTTTAGTGTTAGCTTACCAGAGGAATATCATCAGCAGGAATGTAATTTGTAATTTTTGATAATTAAATATAGTTGGTTTGTGGTTAAATTACTTCAGACTTATAGGTAGATGGATATGATCATTTGCTGATATGGATTCTAACACTGTTTCTTTTTCAGATGTGCTTTGGAGTCTCTTGATTCAGTTCATCAACAGAACCCACCCTCAGAGAGTGGGTTGTCTCACTTGGCAAGTTCCCATGCTGATATGAGCAGACTGACTTACTTGTCTGAACGGGAGAGTACATTGCCTGTCACAGCTGCTGACAGAAGCCCAGAGGACCACAAGGTGGGAGGCACTTGGACTGTTTTTTTGTTTGTTTTTTTTAAAATATATTTTTATTTTTTATCTTTATTTTATGTGTATGGATGTATTGCCTGCATGTGAGTGCACCCATGTCGTGCAATTCCTCAGAGGTCAGAAGAGGGTATGGGATTCCCCTGGAACTGGAGTTAAGGATGGTTCGTAGCTGCCATGTGGGTGCTGGGAATCAAACCCAGGTCCTCTGCAAGAGCAACCAGTGCTCTTAAACACTGAACCATCTCTCCAGCCCCAGCTCATCCTTCATGTGGTCTTTTTGAGACAGGGTCTTCCTGTAGCCCCAGTTGGCCTGGAACTTGCTATGTAGGCCAGGTTGGCCTCAAACTCACAGAGATCCGCCTGCGTCTGCCTCTGGAGTGCTGGGACTAAAGGCATGTGCCACCTAAATTATATATTTTTTAATTAGCTTGCAAAGCACTGATTTCCATAAGGCTTTTTCATACACCCTTAGTTTTAGTTAACCCACCCCTTCTTTTTCTCATGCCCCTGCTTTTTATTAGCACATCGTTTTAATGTGGAATGATGGAGCCTCTCTGCTACTTCCTCAGATTACTAGCCCTGTCTAAGCCTGTTTCTTCATCTATGTGAAGACATGATATGAATCAGTACTTATCACCTAGTAATCTAAAACTGAGGACATACTTTTTTGTTACTATTAGTAACTGACCAATAATCTAGTCTCTGTTTATTGTATCTTTGTTTTTGAAGCTATAATTCAAGAAAAACTTCCAAGGCAACCAAAAATAGTCAAAGCTAAATATATTCTTGTGTGTTAGTTCTAGACTATTCATCTTGCCAAGCTATAGCTGTTATCTTCTTGCATGCATTTTAAAGAAGTGATAAAATAGAACTGTACAAGTTTAGAAAATGGAAAAGGTATAGTATTGGTGCATGCCATTTATTATCTTCCTGTTGTAAGTCTTCATGAAACAACGGACACAGTTTTCATGTGTAAGTTTGCATTTCGTAGTTAAAGACCTAGTTTCCTTTGTGTACACCAACTGTGTTTTGGATAATGTCATGTAGTTCTCATGTTATACCAGCATTGTTTGAACCTGTTATATTCATTTTATCTATGACTTATTTAAAAATCAAATTTGTTGCACTCAGAGTGATGTTACCAGTGAGTTGAGCACCACAATTATTCGAGCCAGCCCAACTCCATTAGAGGAACAAACTTTGGAGAAGCTGAGAGAAAAAGTTCCAGGTCAGAATACAGAAAAAGGAACATTGTCATGTATTGTCCAGATTAAGTCGGATTTAGAAAAAGTGACTGAAACTACTTCTCTGAGTAGCAGACTTGAAGATGGAGGTTCTAACTTTACATTGAATCAAGATCTTTTTTCTACAAGTGGAGAACCCTTGCAAGCTAGTAAGGTAGATCTGACATCTGACCACAATGAAAAGGACTTGATGGGCCAGGCTGTACTGAGCAAACCAGGTCTGAGTCACCAGAATGGGCCAGCCACACCATACCTTCCTGCGTTGAACCTGAAGACTGTGGGTCAGGGTCACAGACTAACATCTAATGGTCCTTCACTTGCTAGCACTGAGTCTAGTGGCCACATTCCTAATCAAACCTCTGGAAACCAGCGCAGCCCTGCTCCAGGCACCTTAGCTCATGCTTCTGTTGCTAAGATGCAGAACATGCCTGCTGTATGTCCTGCGCTCTGGACTGGACAGTCTCTTCACACAGCTCCTGTGACTCAGCAATATTTGGGGACAGTCCCTTTATCTGGAAATGTCACTTTGCCACAGTGCCATTCAGGCTTGCAAGTCTGTGGGATTTCAGGATGTCCTCCGTACCCGCCTGTTGGAGGAGAACATGTGGCTTTGGGAATGTATTTTGGATCAAATCTTGCCGCCGGATTGATGGGTCCCTCTTCTCATTATAACCCCTGTTCTACTGCCCTACACCAGAACCTGCTGAATACAGCAAAGCCTTTTCCTTTGCAGTCTGTTGGTACAAACTGTGAAACCAGACCATGGGACTCAGAAATGATGTCTGGATTTGGTAAGATGCATTTCCTCCTCTTCTGTTGCTTGTTGCTATTTAAAGTTTGAATTTTCTCAAATGGGACCACAAAACTTGTTTCAAATAAATGTTTGTTGGAATTAATTTCTTTTAATTTAAAAAAAAAAAATTTAGGGTTTAATTTTATTCGTGTGAATGTGTCTTTGCGAGTGTACGCACACATGTGTAAGTGTCTGTGCTGATTAGGAAAAACACCCTTTGGAGCTGGAGTTACAGGTGTTTATGAGTTGTCTGATGTGGATGCTCGAATCTGAACTTAGTTCCTCTTGATTGACCAGCAAGCATTCTGAACTGCTGAGCCAGCTTTCCAGCATGCTGCTTTTTTTAAAAACAGGGACTCATCTATCCCTTGCTGGACTCAAACGAGTTCTATAGGAGAATAACCTTGAATTTTTGATTTTCCTGCCTCTACCTCCTGAGTGCTGGGATTATGGATGTATACCACCCAGTTTATTATAATTATTTCTTATAAGGTTTTCCTTGATCTTATATTGAGAACATTGTACTATCTCTGTGTAGGGGGTTGGCAAAGTTGGCTCAGAACAATAGTAAAATGTGTGAAAGTAGTTTTCTATGACTTTGACCTCCTGATTTTTCTTTACCTTTTGTAGCTGGAATTTTGTTATTCTTTCAATTAGGAAGTGCCCGCCTTAGGATCAGGTCCCAAATTCATGGGGTAATATGATAGGGGTGAGGAGCAGTACTCCTCTCATCCATAGTGTACATCTCTTGATGACAGACATCTGCTCTGTGGAGCCAGGCACTGTACACATAGCCTGTATGAGTGTGGCCTGTTTGTTTACTATTCGAAGTAACTTTGTGAAGATGGGGAAAATGTTAAAGATAGTGCTTTTAAGACCCTCGGTAGCCAAGCACACTTGGGAAGTAAAACCTTTCTATCTATATCACTTTGTTTGTTTTTGAGACAGGGTCCCCCTGTAGCCCCAGCTGGGCTGGAACTTGCTGTGTAGACTAGGTTGGCCTTGATATCAGAGATCCACCTCCCTCTGTTGAGTGTTGAGATTAAAGGCATGCACCACCACACTTGTCTGTATAGTCTCTTTTTATGGGGGCCAGAGGCTCCCTTGGGAGAGAAAAAGGATACAATGGAAATAACATCAAAGATTTAATCAGCTATAAATTTTGAGTTTGATCGGTTTGTGTTGTGTTTGTTTTTCTTTGAGCTGGATAGAAGGGTTAGAAATTGTTGGTGGGCTTTTGCTGAGACTTATAAAAAATGTCAAGGATCCTTACAAATCTGGGGCATTTATACTATAGCTGTTGGTTATACTTGGGCAATCTTACATAATAATTTCCTTTTAACTAATAGTCCTTTTAATCAGATGTTTGGTGTAATTTGCATTTTGACTTACTCTTATGCAGGGAATGCCAGAGTACCCGAGGAACTGAAGTTTCCTCATGCTTGCTGTGTAGGTATTGCTTCGCAGACCCTGCTTAGTGTCCTCAATCCAACTGACCGTTGGCTACAAGTCAGCATTAGGGTTCTCAGTGCTAGTGTGAATGGTGAGAAGGTAAGATTTTAGTGTCTTTCTCTTTGGGCTTAGTATTGAATTTTAATGAAGTGTTTGACTTAACACTTTTTAAAAATACAATATTTTTGTTTGAGAATCTCATACATGCATTCAGTGTATTTTTCTCATATTCATCCCCCATTCTTCTTCCTTTTGGACCTATCCCCACTCCCCTTTTTTCCATTTTTACTGATTAAATTTTTTTGACAGCTGCATACATGTGTATTATGCATTCTGATTACTCTCACTCCCAAGTTCTCTTATTTCCCTCTCATCCCTGTCATCTCCCTCCACAAGTCCCTTTCCCACATTCATACCCTTTCTTTTGTTTGTGATCCACTGATTTTAACCAGGACTATTTGCGTGACTATGGGTTTAGAGTTGTCTGTTAGAGCCTGATGGGTTCATGGTTAAGTACACAACTGAAAGCAAATTACTGTGCCTCTTCAGGAATCCATGAGTAGCCTAAATTGTTCAGCAGGGACTGGTAGGACCTCATGAGCTCCTCTCCAATCCATGATTGGCTGTTGGCAGGCCCAGTGCAAGCAACTGTAGCTGCTATGAAATGTTGACAATAGATGAGTTATCTTCCAGCTCAGCATTCTTTTTGTTCCCTCTTCCACAATATTCCCTGAGCCTTAGAGGGGCTGGTATAAATGTCCTGTTTAGGGCTAAGCACTCAACCGTCTCAGCACCTTGAGCAGCCATGTTTGGCGTTCATCACTGTTCCCTGCAAAGAGAAGCTTCTCTGATTAAGACTTAGAGTAGCGGGACTGGAGAGATGGCTCAGTGGTTAAGAACACTGTTCTTGCAGAAGACCCAAGTTCGAATCCCAGCACCCACATGACAGCTAACAACTGTCCGTAACTCTAGTTCCAGGGGATCCGACAGCCTCTTCTGTCCTCTGCAGGCATTGCACAACACAGGTGCACTTACCTACATGCAGGCAATACATGCATACACATAAAATAAAATAAA